GTGGGAGGGGAGCTGTTGCATTGTGGTAAATTGTGGTCAATGTCATGAGACAAAGTGTATGTGAACTGCTGTATGGAAAGTGAATTTGTTCTGTAAATCTTTACCCAAATCACAATTTAAAAAAAAAAAAAAAATCACCTTGAGGAAAATGTTTGCAAGATACATATTCTTAAAAGGTCAATGTCCTCACTATCTAATTAATCATTATGGAAAAAAATAATAATAATTCACAACACAATACAGTATTGGGGTTAGTCATGATTTTTATTTTCCTCTTTTTGCTCATTTTTTTTTCTGTTTTCTATACCAATAAAAAGAAAAATATCTATTACTTCTATAGAAAAAAACTTTTCAAAAAAGGGACAAGTTTTTTTCTTGCTGGGGGTTGGTAACCTAAGCTTCTTATGAAAGGACAGTGAAGTTCCTTCCTTTGCCTCCTCCAGCCAACTCTTTATCTTGGGACAGAAAATGTGCATATATCATCTCCTGCAATTCTCATAAAAACCTCAAATGGGGTGCTGTTATACCCTAAAACTACAAACAAGAAAACTAAACCCCAGAGAAGTTCAGCATGTTTCCCAAGACCACACAGCAATAAACAGTAGAATTAGAACTGGATCCCAGGCTCAACTGACCAAAAACTAGGTAGATACCAAAAATCTTTCCAAGCCTTTCCAAGGCTCATTTTAAAACTGTTAGTTTGAGATAAAGAAGGTCTGAGTTCTGATCCTGGCTTTGCCCTCAACTATTGCTATGTGTGGCCTTGACAAGTCTCTTCATCTGTCAGACCCTCAGTGTCATCTGTACAATGAGAAGTAGATTGGCCTAAATGGTTTTCACATTCCTGCCTATTCAGACATATGAGAGTTCTGTTCTCTTGAAAGGCCATCTCAAGGACCACCCTGCATTGACCAACACCCAAGACCAAAGGTCAGCATCAGTGGCCTTGCGAATTAGAAAAGATGGCAGCACACAATGCCTCATCCCCTGGCCCACCTTGAACTCTTCATGGATCCACTTCTCCGGAACTTTGACAGCGTTGTGGTCTTCCATCTCCACTTTCCACTTCTCAGCCAGGATCCGGGCTTTCTCATTGGCCAGTGCATCCCGGAACTTCTTAGTGATCTCTGCCTCCTTCTGTCTCCTTCCAAAACAGCACGAGCAGGTATAAGTTTGACAGATCATGTGAAAACAGAGTTTCAAACAAAATAATTGAGCAAAGTTTTTCTGGTCTATCAGTATGGCAAATATCTGAGGTCAACAAAACTCAGTGTTGGCACTGGTGTGGAGAAATAAATGACACTGTCCTGTATGGGATTATAAGTCAGCCGAATCATTCTGGAAGTCAAGAAATCAAGAGTCAGAAATTACATTTCTCACAAAGTTTAAAAAGATGTACGTAGGAGATGTTCATCAGAGTATTTTTATACAATAAAAATAGTACAAAACCCAAATGTTCATCAATAGTACCAATAAATTAGATTTCTCATATACTATCTAGTAATCCTAAATAATGCTGTGAGTCAATATTAATCAATATGTTAAGATGTGACTAAGCAGTTTATAAAGCATGTGTCACCTAAATGCTCACTGTGATTATCTTAGGTTGTGGGGTATTGAATTGTTCTTTAATTTATTCTTTTATAGTTTATAATATTTTACAATTAAAATGCTCATTAAAAATTGAGGAGAAAATGTTGCAGTTAACTGCATATGGATTTTCAAGTTCAGTGGGAAAAAAAAAAAAAAAAAAGTTGTTTATGAATGGATTCTGACTCCAAACTTCATGGCAGTGCTCAGCTGTCTGTCTTCTCTGAAGAATGTGAGTGACATAAAGAGGACTAGGTAGATACCAAAAGTGAATCCAAACTATTATAACATATTGTAAATATACTGAATAACCCAGGGAGAGAAAAAGCACGTCAATGTAGTCTCAGTGAATCTAAACTATATTCTCCTGAGAGAGCTATGTCCACACCACAGATGTGGAAACTGAGACCCCAGGTCAGCTAATTACAAATTGGTGGAGCCAGGATTTGAACCCACAAAGTTTACCTGAAGCAAGACTATGATGCTTTGGTCAGAGCTCAAAATAGCCAGCCAGATGCCTGGCACCTTTTTCCTCCCAGCCACAAGCTACTGTCCTCAGCAGGGCCCGACCCCAAGGCTCCAGTCTCTGGCCCTACTCAACACACTTGCCAACCCCCTGAGCCTCTCACCAGAGCTCCTCAGCTTCCCTCTGCGCCTGCAGCCGAGCTCGCTCTGTGATCAACTCCTTGGCGATCTCCTCGTAGGGCTTGTCACCAGGACCCTCTCCCATGATCCAGACCCAGACCTCTCCATCTGCACCTAGGAGCCACTGGATGTGCTTGTCACTTGCTGCTTCACAACAAAAGGAGAAACAGGATTGAGTTCTTGATAGTAAGGAATGACCTAAGCTGGCTGATGGTATACAATCAACACATCCCTCTACAGAGCATTCTCACCTCATAAAGGATTCCAGAGTGATATTGGCTTGAGTGCAGGGCCACAATTCTCCCCACTCTCATTTTCCCTAGGGAGCAATACAGCAGCCAGCTCAGTCTCCTGGAGCAAGGTATCCAAGACCAAGTTTTCCAGAGACCTTCATTATAGAGAATAGCAGGTAACAGCCCAGCACTCTCAAGAGATTGAATGTCACTCCCAGGCCAAATAGTCTGAAGCCAGTGTGCATTTTCTGCACTCTCACGCACTTTCCCACTTAAGTTGCCAGATCCAGAAACCTGGGCTCTGGAGTCTCCTTTAGGAGGAGCAACCCAAGAAACCTCACCCACATCACACTGTGATGTGAGCACATATAAAACTCTGTTTAATAAGACACTCAGTGTGCCTATTGCAACAGCTTCCATCGGCTACTGTTATTAATTGAGTTGTGCCCCCAATAAAGTATATATTAGAATCCTAACCCCTGTACCTGTGATCCTAATTTGGAAATACAGTTTTCTTTGTTGTGCTAATTAGATCATACCCAAAAAGAGGTATTCTAAACCTAATCATCTCTGAGTTACAAAAAGAGTAGATTAGACACAGGGATTTGCATACAAAGAGGGAAGACAGATGCTATGTGAGGATCTTCTGTCAGCAAGGAACTAAGGAGTGCCCAAGACTACTGGTAGCATAGTGCCTAAGGCACTTGATTGCTAACCAGAAGATGAGCGGTTCAAACCCACCAGCCACTCCTCTGAAGGAAGATGGGGCAATCTACTTCCGAAGTGATACTGCCTAAGCAACCCAAGGAGGGGTCGCTATGAGTCGGGTCCGACTTGACGGCACATAACACCAACAGTAACAACACCTAAGAGGAAGGAATATATTCCACCAAGGACCTGATTTAGACTTTTAGCCTCTAGAACTGTGAGAAAATAAATGTCTATTTTTTAAAGGCACTCCCTTGTGGTATTTGTGTTGCAGCACTAGGAAACCAAGACAATTACTGTGGTTAATAAAAAAATTTATCTGTAAAGTGAGGTGCTGCTGAAACAGAAATATAAACTATGTGTCATTGCCTTAGCAGTTGAGGAGCACTCTAGATGGCTGGTGGCCCATGTTATGTTACAGAAAAGAATTTGGTGATATTGCTAGACACTCTAACTTGAAAATCTGGCCCCTGTCTTTCTTCTTATAAGAGAAGAGTTTGGAAAATAGAATGTTAATGGTATTTGTTGCCAGAGGCTGAATTTGGCAAAGTATTCCACCAGCCTTTTGGTTAGCAGTCAAATGTCTTAACCACTACACCATCAGAGCTCCCAATTAAGAGAAATAAGTTCAAGAAAGCTTTTGATGTTTTGCAATAAAAAGAAAAAGAAATATGACACAGAGTTGGGACTTTGAGGATTAGAAAAACCATCTTCTAGGGTCCAAATTGCAAGAGATGGGATTTGTAAAGAACCCAGTAAAACTTGTAAGGTGAACAGTGGCCTGGGGCAAAGAGTAGTGAAAGAATGAGAATATGCTCCACAGATCTCAACTACAAGAGTGTGATTGGCCAGGGTCCAGCTGCACTCTGAAATCCAGCACCAGATATGGCACTAAAGCCATGTCTCCCAGAAGCTACTCCCACCATTGACAACTGAGCATGGCAGGTTGGTTGCTGAGACACATGGACTCCTCTGATGGTCATCTCTGAGTCAAGGGTTCCCCAAGCTCGGCAAGTCTTCTCTGGACTGCACAGCTGGCTGCAAGACCTTTGCCAACCTTCTTTCCCTCTTCCCTTCACACAAGGTCAAGCTTACATCTTACTTTCCCTGGGCTGCCATAACAAAGTACATCAAATTAAGTGACTTATAAGAAATTTACCTTCTCACAGTTCTAGAGGCTGGGAGTCCAAAATTGTGTTATCTGCCATATTGATTCTTTCTGTGGCTTTGAAGAAAAATCTCTTCCATCCCACTCTCTTAGCTTCCAGCAACAACCAGCAATCCTTGGCATTCTGATTTCTGACTCTCTCTTCATATGACTGTCTTCCCACTTTCCATCTCTGTGTATTCTCTTTTATAAAGGTCACCATTCATATTGGATTAAGATTAGAGGTATATCTATGGAAAATAGCACCTGTGACAAGCACTAAAATTTTGCCCCTCTAAACATCTGACACCTATCTTTTATATAACTTTAACATAGTATCAGCCCAAAAAGACCAGTCAAAATCAACCTTTTACTTAACACATTATGGCACTACATGAAAATTACAAGTGCACCTTCATTCTTCTACTGATGAAAATTGGCATATGATGTGCTCAGAGGAATTTTTTTCTGTTTCTTATCTTTCTGCACTCAACAAAGCAAGATTTCAGTCTGTCTTGACCCATGGGGGCTCGCAAATATGAAAGTATTAGTTTTAACTTGCTGAGTGATCTCTCACAGGTAGTAATGGAAACTCCCATGGTTAATAGAAACTGCTCAGTAGTGCCCCCCTTCAAGTGGCACCTAGAGCATATGCCATACTTGTCATACCTTAGCTATACCTCTGATTAGGACCCATTTTATTCCATTTAACCTTGTGTTAACTGATAACATCTTCAAAGACCCTATTTTCAAACATTCTAAACAGGTCATGTTCACAAGAACTTGTTGTTAAGATTTCAACATATCATTTGGGGGGACACAATTCAATCCATAGCAATCTAATGAGTCTCCCAGCCTCCTCCGGTGTCCAGCTTCCCCCTCCCCTGCCAAACATTAGCTTTAATAAAATCTTCACATGTTGTCTCAGGCTGGGTTTTCTGGGAACTCTGGTGGCATAGTGCCTAAGTATTTCACTCCTAACCAGAAGGCTGGCAACAGAGAGGCAAAATCAGTGAAGCTTAAAGAGAGAAAGAGAGAGGTTTATTTTGGGGAAATCACTAACACAGTTGTAGAGGTTGGCCAGTCCCAAGTTCATGGGTCAGATGTCAAATTGGAAGTTTTCCCTGACTCAGCAGCTGCAAAGGCTGACGAACTTCAGTAGGCAGTATATATAGCAAGCTTTGGCAGATGATGAATCCAAAATTGTCCCAGAAAACAACAGATTACTGGCTCATAGGTTGCAAAGGCAACAATCCTAAAGTTGGAAGTCAATGTGGCAGGCTGGTTAAGCTCCAAGAGCCAGAGATGATGATGAATTAGATGTAAAATCCAGATCCAGCAAACAGTCAGAGAATGTTCCCAGGATATCTATCTATCTATCTATCTATATCTATATCTATATCTATATCTATCTATCTATCTATATCTATATCTATATCTATATCTATATATATATATATAGATATATACATTGGAAACAAGCTACACCTCTGAGGAAACTCTCTTTCAACTGAGTGGATTACATCACAGCTGCTTGGGCCATTTAGAATCATGGTCTCGGCAAGTTGACACACAACCTTAACTATCACATATGTTTAATTTCATCCCAATCTCTGCTGCTCAGGGAACCTAGACTAACACAAGCATGTTAAGAGTGTGAGCTCTTGAACCAGGAGGCAGGAAGATGGTGTCATGCCTATAACCTGCACATTTGAGGCCTCTACCAACTTAATCCATGAGCAACAGGTAAAGCAGATAGAAATAATGATACTAGAGTTATGAGCAACCAAGGAGAAGATAAAGTATGAGATGTAGTGAAAGTGGAAGAAAAGAGCAGATTAAACAACTGGGAAAAATAAATGAACCCACCTAGTTGGCAGAGACAGAGATGGAGACAACTCATTAGAAATGCAAAAGAGGTCAGGAAAGGGAAGGAGGAAGAGGGAAAAAAACATCACAGAAACCACAGAGGCACTGGGGACTCAGTATACCCAAACAGGAGTTTTGGGTGGCAAACTTGGGCTCTGAGTGAGTAGATAACATTACTGAGAACTGGATCAAGACCTCCCTTGCCTTGTGCTGCCACGGAGTCCAGAAAGGAGTAGGGGAAAGGGAGAAACTCCCTTCAAGTAGGCAGAGTCCAAGAGCAAGTGCACATCAGTGGGCTGGGGTTCAACTCTTCCACAAAAACTTTTAGCACAGAGTGGACCAGGTTACTGGGTTTTTGCAGTTTTTCAATCCAAGTGGAAAGCAGTGGCCCTCTACCCATTGGGGTCTCTGTCAATTTTTAATCATGGGTCTTTAATTGACAGTAGGATGTCATCATTAGTAGACTGCTCAGAAAGATGCAAACTACCCTGTCTGTGCCTCCAAATACAAAAAAAAAAAAAAAAAAAAAAATCTCCTTCTACTTTTCTACTAAGGAGCTTAATTCTGTCCCATTCGCTTTTTTTCCTTTTTGTTTTTCTTTCTTACTTTTCTCCCCTGCCTTATCCAATAGAAGGAACACATTAAACTTCCACCAGGCAACAGGAGTTACTACACTGAACACTTCACTCAATGTACAAATAACACCAATAGCTCCTGAACCACAGAATCAACAATAGATGGTAGGCAAAGCATGCTCACCCCAACTCCACATCCTCTTCATTACAAACAAAGACCTGCACCCACATCACCATCAGTGATTCCACCAATACATAGAGTTGGAGAGGAAATCAGTATAGCCAAGTTAGTAACCAAAAAAGTACACCTGCCCCTCACTCCCATATATAGTAAAACATAAAATCAGGGTGGAACAAATCAATATGTAACTAATAATCAAATACAACAATCTCAAAATGTCTAGGAAACAACAGAAAACCTCAAATAAAAGAAAACAAGACAATAGAAACAAAAGCCCAGGCTAAAGAATTGTCTATATGTTAGAAGAACAAGTAATAGAACTATCTTAGAAGGAATTCAGAAGGTATCAAGGAATATCAGACACTCCAAGAGTTCAAGGAAACCATAAACAGAAACAATGAGAAGACAGACAGTACCCTGGAAGAATTCAAGAA